CCCCCCCCCAAACAAAAAAAGACTACAAATGACACTTCAAGGAAAATATCTCTTAATCCTCCTTATTTTTCATTAATATGCATATAAAAAACTTGCCACAAACACTCGAAGAACTTGCCCCTCACAAGAAAGTTTCCAAAAAGTGAGGGGATATGGTCTACATTTTTTGGACTCTACTCGTTCGATCCACAACATCTAAGCATCAATAAAAACATATATCTCCTAACTCAGCATAGGCTCTGGAATTTCACTTCTATTTCTCTTCATCTCCTCCCTCTTGATCATAGCTGATTTTTTAAAGAGTTTGGGTGACTTGATGACCTCAGTATTGATTGGTTTTAGGCTTGTTGGATTCCTCTGATCAAGTCGTTTGATTCTACTATAAATATTACAGCAAATTGGAAGTTATTTGACTATTCAATTGACGGTCTAAGTCTTTAATTGTGCTTCAACAGTTTTGATCTGGGCCTGATTGCACATGCATTGAAAAAATTTTAGAGCTGTTGAATTTGTCTTTGTGAAATGCTCAGTTTAATTGTAAATTTGATGAAATCAGAATCCAAATGATCATTAATTTGAATTTGAAAGATCAACTAAAAAAATACATTGAGATTCGTGTTTGATGACAATTTTTTTGATGACACTTCACTATTTTTTAATAAAATAACTCAAAAATTTCTAAATATAAATTTAAACAAGAAAGGACGAGAATATTTTGATACAATTGGCATCGGCTGTGGGGCCGCTGTCGAATTTCTACGCGCATGAGTAGATAATAATATTCTGAACTTCCAATACAATAATTGTGATTCTACTTAGAAAATTCACGTAAACTTATCCAATAAAATTTATTTCTTCCCGACTCCACGTGCGCGCTTTGTAACCTTACAAAAACATTTTTGTGATTTTGAGTGATTAAATGTTATCTTAGGGTTTATATATATCACTTTAATCTTTTTCTGATAGTTTGATGCAGTCAGAAAACATTATAAAATCATCGGTTAATTAATATCCAATGGGTTTTCAACAGTTTATTGAGTATAGCTTATTTGTTTGCCGTAACCGATAAATTTTCCGATGACTTTTATCATAGACGACTTACTAACAGGTATTACCCGTAATTTTATGATAAAAGAAAGAGTCATTGATAAGTTGTCGATTACTGTCGAATATATAAACAACAATCGTAAATTGTCGGATTTTTTCGAAAAAATATTCGTTGGTTTTTCTTCAATTGGCCGTCGATGTATTACTGACAGTTAGAGGCCGTCAAAAAAGTGTAGCATGAATTTGTCAATTCCTCTCAGGTTAGTTTCTTGGTTGAGTGACTCACGGAATGGGTTGTCATTTTATCAATTGACCATAATTAGATCTTTGGTTTTTCATCGGTTTAGGAATCGAGGGTGTTTGTAACTGTCAGATCATCTCAGAAATAAGCAGAAAACTGATGAATAAGCATCACAAAGTCATCAAAAAATTATAGCATGAAAAAAATAACGAAGTTTTTTTTCTTTCGTTTCATTACAAATTCTACTCGTGCAATCGCAGCACAAATACAAATCTAATTATATATCACACACTTTAATTGACAAGTTCAAACAATTATTAGACTAAAATCATGATATTGAATGCACAAATTAAATACACAAATCAAACACAATAAACACAATGCATTGAAGAAAAGAAGTAAATTATTTTTACAGAAAAAAAACACTATCGGAAGTCTTCTGGTTGAATGTTTTATTTGAAGAGCTTAGTGACAATTTGAAGATAACGACAATGATGAGTGCTAGCTCGTGAAAGATCAAACATTTTATAAGAGAACTAAGCACATTGACGTTCGTTATCACTTTGTTTGTAAAGTTGTTGCTCATGGGATATTGCTGTGCGCAGGAACAGTACTCCTAAAAATATTGCAGACATGATGACTAAAGCACTTCCAATAGTCGAGTTTGAACGTTGCTTAGATTTGGTTGGTATTCATTTGTGATCATTAGAGCTTTGTGGGAGTGGTGGAGAATGTTCTATTCTATATCCTTGAAAATTCCTATCATGGTGGAGATTGTTAAATATTTGATTGTCGGTTACTGTCGGATATGTAAATGACGATCGCAAGTTGTTGGATCTTATCGAAAAAATATTCATTGGTATTTGTCGGTAATACGCTGACGATCAGGGGTCGTCTAAAAATTGTAGCAAGAAAAAAATGTAGCGGTTTCATGGTTTACTTCGTAGGTTGAGCAACCGACGGAACGGGTCGTCGCTTTTAGTGATAAACCGCAACAAGACCGTCAGTAATCCGAGGATGTAGGCTTGAATGTGAGAGTAGAGGCAATTTGGGGAGGTGGGCTTGATTGCAGGAATTTGGATTCCCCCTCCCTCCTAAACATTTACGGTGGCCAGGACAGAAGCTCAAGGATTGTTACATTCTATCTCCTTGGTACCAAATGGTATCGATTGGAACAAGGGCAATGGAGAGAGATGGTTGTGCTTAATTTTTGGCTCCCATGGTGCGGCTTGGGCTTGGTTTAACCTAATTGGGCTTGAGCAAGTGCACCTAACCTGCTCTAAGAAACTTGGTCGATTTATAGCCGCTTAAACGGTCAGGAAAGGTGAACCCATTGAGGTTTAGCCATAGTTTGACTTGTCTAATTAAGATTTTTTTTTTAATTTTAGCTTTAAGTTAATCTTAGGTTCTGTCGAATTTAGGCCAATATTGAATTGGATTGAACTTGAATTCAATTTAAGTAGGTTTATTTTAAATTCTACCTAAGCTTTTGGGTGTATTGGGGCAGCGGTGCGGTGGTGGTGTAATGCTGCATAGCGGTTTTTTTGGTTGGGCAAAATTGCATTTTTGTTTCAGGAAAAGCTGTGTTTTTCCACCTGACCTGACTACCTGAGGTGGTTGTAGAAAGTTACAGTCTAACTTTTCCAAAAAAAAAAATAATAACCATCAAAATTAAAGTTCATTTAAGTTTACAGTTCACTTTATAGCTTAGTTTAGTGTGTAGCTTAAGTTGGTTTAAATTATAATTTGGTTTTGATTAAGTTTAGATTTAGTGTAGGTTATGAGTAATTTATAGTTTAGTTAGGATTAGATTAAATTTGATCAGTGTCATTTAATTTTGAACTAAGTTTAGGGCGCTTATATTTGCATTTGAGTGGCGATGAAATTTAATTGGAGTTTTAAGTTGTGAATTTAGTTTTATTTAAATTGGATTGAGCAGTTTTGTAGGCTAAATTGAAATTAAGATGAAATTGACAAGGTTGCAATGTCGTTGGTTAAATTTAGGTTTTTAGATTGCCTTTTTTAAGTTTATATTTAAGTTGTTATAATGTATATTTCAAGATTTTATTGTCTTTAGGTTAGTTTTTAAAGTAGATCTAAACTTATTCCAATTTGATCTCAAATTCAAAGTTTGGATTAAGATTAATTTCTTTTTAATTTTGGTTCACAATTAGATTTTAGTTTATATTTAATTATTGATTAAGATTTTGATTTAATATTTAGGTTCAATTAAATTTAATTTTAAATTTATATTAAATTTATTTTATTTTTAATCTAAAGCTTAATGAAAGTTTAACTGAATTAAGTTGAAGCTTAATTTAAACCTAAGTCCAGAGAGAAGTGTATACAGGCTAAAAATACTGACTAAAACAGAGATCAACATCCCCACATTCTCTTAACATGAGTTAGGTACCATTCTAACCCCATTACAAAGTATAGCAACTATTTAACCCCACACAAAAAATCAGATTATTGTTATGATACTTTCCTCACTAACTATATAGATAATTTAGAGTGTCAATATAAATTCCCCTTCTTAATATTTACAACAATAATCATGCAAATTTGCATAAACTAAAATACACATCCTAACTCAATACCAACATCCAAGAACTTAGTCTTTTCAGAAACATAAAATCATCACAAATTTTGCATGAAATATAAACTGCACATTAATATAACAGCATTTTGTTCATCCCTCTCCTAAAAGCTGAAACTGCAGCCCAAAAAAAAAAACAGAGAAAAAGAATGAAAAAAGCAGCAGCTTCATTGAAACTTGAAAGTCTCACAACCAAAGCATATCACACCAAAGTTGCAGTTTTTAATCACCAAAGTTGCAGTTTTTAAATTTTTTTTTTTTTTAATTTTTACATTAGTAGAAGAGTCTTCAAGCCAATGTATCCCTACTCTTAAACTTAGAGGCACAAGCCAGCTCTGCTGAGAGGATGAAAGCAGACTTGTCTGCTTCCCTCAGATAGCGCGCATCTCCATTCATGAGTTTAAGAAGCTTTCTGCAAACCAGCAGACTCATCCCTTCCTCTGAAAGTTCTTCCTTCCCTCCAAACATCTGGGAAAGTAAATCCTCCGGTACGCCGAAACCCGCATGCGTTATCCTGAATCAGAAGCGTAATGTTAGGTTTGGTTCGTTAATGCGTGATATTTAAGACGTTATAACTGTAAAAACTCCACAAACGAAATCATAGTGAAATCTGCAGCGATGGCAATAAGACAACCATGGACTAGACAAATCTGTATACAGTTCTTGGTGTTCTTTGTGTTTATATTCTTTCCATTTTATTTGTTTGGAGCATTTACATACCGCACAATTGTTATGTGTTTACATATCAAACATCTAAACATTCACCAATCAAATTTTTAACATCACATCAAAAATATCACCTTCGTAATCTTTTTGCAATTGAAATACACATTTTCATTTATGATACAGAGGTGTTAACAAGTGTAAATATCAAACTTTCGTCGTTAGATATGTAAATACATCAAAATTATGGTGTATGTAAATTTTCCTATTATTTTTGTAGAAATTGATTGGGAAGGAAAAATTACATAACTTAACATTCACATATAGGATACATATATATAGTAAACTCTCTTTTAAATTTAAAACTCAGAGTCGTCAATGCATTATATGCACATTCACAAGTAAATCGTCCTGCTTATAGGGCAAGGTCGTAAATCTCAATTTACAACCCCAAATCTCTATTTTCAAATGGCACGTAGATAAGAATTAAGCGAAAAGAAAATACATATGCAACATGTTTAAAACAAGGTTAACAAGAAAAAGAAAAAAAAATCTTCAAAATCAATGCTCTAGGTAAAATATAAACATGTTTGAATTATCATTTCAATGAACTAAGTGCTCTTGGTGAATTTGACATAAATTATTTTATTTTCTATTATGTTTGCATATAGACTTTAATTAAAAAAAAACATTCATTTGTAAAAAGGTATAATCTTAATATCATATCTACAAGTCTACCAACAAATTTTAATTCTTAAAATTTATCGGCTATATTTAAGGTAGAGCTGACAAAGATTGTAACATAATAGATTTTCAAAATAAATTCATACCATACACCAATTTAAAACCTAATCAGCCACAAGGAATCAAAGTTAACAAGGTCCAAAATATAGAATTGAAACTATCCAAAATACTCATGATGGCCATGTTTAAGAAAAAAATCATTTGAAAGAGATTCTATCATCAAAATGCCCTTAAATCTCAATGCAAATAGGTGGTCTCAAATTCTTACAAAAAATAATAATAATAATAATTTTGCACAAATCTAAAAATATTTTTAGAAATAAATGACTGCTTAAACTTAAAAGCGAGACAATTTATACACCCTATGCATTAGTTTATCAAGTGATAAATTTATGATAATTTAAACTCATAAATAGTCAAATATCATATCAATTGTACTTTTAAGATCCTTCTCAATAATCTCATATCAGTAAGAACATGACATACATCCTCTAAATAGGTAATTTTGTTGTCAAATGGCGCAAAAAAAAAAATTACAACTATGACCGAGTTAATCTAGTTGGATGATGCGTCGCAAAATGACACCATTTTATCATGATTATAACAAAAGCCCACAAGTTTCTCATTTGCCCAAATCCCCTGAATGATAAATTATATGACACTTGATAGTGTACAAAATAATCTATTAACTAAGATCAACTAACCTTAAGCAAACATTCATCTCGGGACTATACAGTTCTCTTCGATGTCACAACCCATAATAACGGACAAGAATCATTTAGTCAATTTAGGACAACTATCTTCACTGAATTAAACAAACAAAGTAAACATTCATCTCGGGACTATATGGTTCCTCTTGATGGCATAACCAATGACGACTGACAAGAATCCTTTAGTCAGCTTGAGACAACCATCTTTGTGGATTGAACAAATAAAAAGTCCCTTTGATTAAGTTCATCATCGTTCCCCCGCCATATATTAAAGCCAAAGGTAGTCAATTTTATTTTTTAAAAACCAAATTGCTATTACTATACCGTAAACACTTAGTAATTATTGACTAAACAAAAAATAATAATAATTTCTTTCGAGAACGAAATGGGTAATTAATATAAAGATTTGTGCCCAAAGAAAACATGAAAGTGAATCTTAAAGTCCTCACAAAATCTCTAAATACCGAATTTTCTAAAATTTAATCTACCATCTCAAAATTTAACATGGACCATAACTCTCTCAAAATTGTCAGTTTCAAATTTTCGAAGCCTGCACATGGCTCCTTTGAAGAAATTGAACACTCTTTTCATTTCTTGCTATCATTAAATATATAACAACATAAACCAGTGTGAGATTATAGGCTCTCTCTTATTCCAATACCCAACATGAACCTCCAATACACCATTCTATTAGAAGATACTTGTCTAAGTTGCCTTCCATGAATACCATTTCCTCTTCTAATAAAAATTATAATAATTCATCCATCCTCACAAAATTTTGATTTTTTTAAACTATTTTCTAATCCAATTTGAGGACCACAAATGTTAGCCAAATATATTATTTCCTCATCAATAGTATCTTAATAAAAACCACCCCATCACAATTCTTATACGCCTAAAAAATATTATTATTATTATTTAACTCTATATCCACAACTACAAAAACTCCATTTCTATTGCTAAACCATTCATAAGGTCCTCAAATTTTTTCTATTCCAAAATATTCCCAGTTATTTTCAAATAGGTAATATTTATCCGTTTGTAATAATTGTATCCAACGATCAATCCATTTTCTAATTTAAAATTACTAAATTTCATCTAGTAAATCTAATCATAATTTTAAGCCCAAGCTACCCTAGCACACTTTTCATGACAATTTACATTGTTATGCATCAATTGCAATTGACCTCTTAGCCAAAACTAGCTATTATTTACAGTGATTGAGTTATATTGTGGAGGTGTCATTTGCAAATAACATGTTAGCAAATCACCCACTTGTCACCAAAATTAAATTAAGTTGTGTGATGGATACTTTGCAGTCTAAATCTTATCTGATTGTTACTAGGATCACATTAGGTCATTGTATTTTGCTTCTAGATGATGCTCTAACATAAGAAAACTACAATTCTAGATTAATTTCATTAGTTATGTCATAAGTTTTACACAAGTTTGTAAATTTAAAATCAACCTTTAAATTTTCTCATCCAAATTTGCAAAATGAAAATTGTAATTTTTTAAATGATTTTCTTTGTGTTAAATAATTGAATTGTTTCATTTTTCTTTCTTGAGAATAAAGAACTACGTACATATAAGCTATGAAGCAGTTTTAACATAACAATATATAAAACTATTTCTAATGTAATAAAAACCCCGCTGAAGTCAATTTGATGACAAAACTCCTTGGAATTTAGATAATGATAGAATAATCACTGATGCACATATTGTAATGCATCAAGTCTCTTTAAAGTGATAGAACTATTCCACTAAACAGTCAATACGAGCATGTCATGAAGTTACTTTATGACATCTATGAGAAATAGTGATTGGAGTGTTTGACATGGTCATGATTATAATATGACTCATTGTGATCATGATACACACTCTAATATTACAAAATAAGAGGATTTACATACATACTACACATTCTCACGTATTTACATGCTAACACCCAAACTTTAGTGTGAGTGTATATATATATATATATATATATACATATAATTGGCATCTTGGGCTTACACATAAGAGGATGAAATTTAATATGCATGCATAGCTTGATTATTTATGACAATTTAGTTGCAATTTAGGCCATGAATTATATATTATTCCAGAATTATCTAAGTGACCTTCCACTAACTTTTAGTCTCTAACCATTTAGTCACTGATTTGAATCATGCGTTGCATTGCCTTCATCCCCATAAATAGTTGTGCGTGCAACGAACGTGTGAATCCTGATGGTTTTACAAGAAATTTATGCAAGCGAGCTTTTTATATATGAAAGTTTCAACCACTTAATTTTTTTTTTTAAATATAGTGTCGTTTCATGAAATGTGCTGCATAAGCACGTATAATCATCAAAATAGTTCAAATGAATCTATTCACGTCCAAATAGGACTTTATTTGATGTGCATCGATAGCTCAAATTGTCGTCATTATTCAAAAATATTATATAAATTTGACAGACATTTATATATTCAATTTAGAGACTATGTGTGTGTGTGTGTTTATATTCTATGATATTTAAATTTTGAATTCTCCTTTCATAATCCTCGTAATTTAATTGAATATTAATAAAATGATAAAATATTTCTAAGTTACGATGATTGGGAAGCAAAATAGAGTTAGAAAGTGGTATCAAATCGAGTTCACGGATTGGGTTCAGGTCAAACCCGAAACTGCTTAACCTGAACCTGACCCGAAAATTAAAAGAGTTAGAAAATTCAATCTAAACCCAAGCCGCCAACCTGTATAACCTGTTTAGTATAAAGCATTACAGCTACTCTGGTTGATTTCGAGCAAAATTTATGCAGAGTTTGGGTCAATCTTAGATAATTTTTGAGTTTATAGGTCAATTTTGAGTTAATTTTGGGTTATCAGCTTAGTTTCAGGTCAATTCTAGTTGAGGGGTAAAATCGATCTGAAAAATAAACGGTTTAAGAATTTTAACACGAACCAAAACAAAAAATTATTCAGATCAACCCGAACCCATATTTTTTGAGTCGAGTTCAAATCGAATTGGCATGTCATGTCAATTTTTGACCCCCTACTTGGAAAGAAATTAGTAAAGCATTTTGCAAAAAAAGACCCTAGCTCCCTATCTCTTATAATGGACGGTCCTTATTCCCTCTCCCTCTCTCTCCCTCACTCTTTCTCTTCATCTCAAGACACGACACCAAAAAGAATAAAGAGCGATATTTGCATACAAGCCCTTTTCTCGCACCTTCTCCCAATAAATGATACCCACTCATTCTCCTCCCACTCATTCTCCTCTCTCTCACAAAAAAAAAAAGACAAAAGGCAGTAATTTTTGCATAAGGACCCTGAGTTTTCCAGTTTTGTCCTCGCTCTTTTAAGCGGCAAAACGGGAAAAGAGGGAATAGGTCAAGAGGAGCTCTCATTT